AACAACAAAGCGGCGTGGGTCCATGGATTGCCGGCCGAGCTATTCAAACACGCCGGCGAAGAACTGATAAGGATCATTCATAAGCTTCTTTGTAAAATATGGTCGGACAAAAGCATGCCCAACGATTGGAATTTAAGTGTGCTATGCCCAATCCGCAAAAAAGGAGACCCTACAATCTGCGCCAACTACCGTGGGATAAACCTCCTCAATATCGCATATAAGGTTCTATCGAGCGTATTGTGTGAAAGATTAAAGCCCACCGTCTACAAACTGATTGGAGCTTATCAGTGTGGCTTTAGACCTGGCAAATCAACAACCGACCAGATATTCACCAAATCGCCAAATCTTCGTCGATTTCCAAGCTTCTTTCGCCAGCACGAAAAGAAGCTGCCTTTACGCCGCGATGTCTGAATTTGGTATCCCTGCAAAACTTATACGGCTGTTTAAGCTGACGTTGACCAGCACCAAAAGCTCCGTCTGAATCAGGAAGGACCTCTCCGAGCCGTTCAATACCAAACGAGGTTTCAGACAAGGCGACTCCTTATCGTGCGAATTTTTCAACCTTCTGGAGAAAATAGTTCGAGCTGCAGAACTAAATAGAGAAGGTACCATCTTCTATAAGAGTCTACAGCTGCTGGCGTATGCCGATGATATTGATATCATCGGCCTCAACGCCCGCGCAAGACGAAATATCTCCTGTCACAGTCGTCGCACTCGCGACTTGGCACTCACGTCACTGTTGACAGTCATAGCTTTAAAGTTGTAGATAATTTCGTCTATCTTGGAACCAGCGTAAACACCACCAACAATGTCAGCCTAGCAATCCAACGCAGGATAACTCTTGCCAACAGATGCTATTTAGGACTGAGTAGGCAATTGAGAAGCAAAGTTCTCTCTCGACAAACAAGAACCACACTCTACAAGTCATTCATAATTCCCGTCCTGCTATATGGTGCAGAGGCTTGGACGATGTCAACAACGGATGAGTCGACGATGCGAGTTTTCGAGAGAAAAGTTCTGCGAAAGATTTATGGTCCTTTGCGCGTTGGCCAGCTGTACGAGATATACGATGACATTGACATAGTTCAGCGAATTAAAAGACAGCGGCTACGCTGGCTAGGTCATGTTGTCCGGATGGATGAAAACACTCCAGCTCTGAAAGTATTCGACGCAGTACCCGCCGGGGGAAGCAACAGGAAGAGGAAGAGGAAGACCTCCACTTGGAAGGGCCAAGTGGAGAAGGACCTGGCTTCACTTGGAATATCTAATTGGCGCCACGTAGCGATAAGAAGAAACGACTGGCGCGCTGTTGTTAAATCGGCTATAATCGCGTAAGCGGTGACTACGCCAATCAAGAAGAAGAAGAATAACACGATAAATCATAAACCTAATACGCCAAAGACATTAATCCGAAATGGTATGACAGCTGTCTCTTGATACGCTGAACTAAGTAGATGTCTTCGCATATCTCGCACAGCTAGCTCATCGTACTACCGTCTCGACGTTGCCAATGCGCAAAGGACCATAGATCTTCCTCGCAACCTTTATCTCGAACACTTCTAAAGCCGACTGATCAGATTCCGTCATTGTACGCGCCTCCGCTCGATATTCGGTCGTCGAGAGAGGACTTTACTTTTCCATTGCCTACTTAGTCCAAAGTAGCACCTTGGCAAGACTGACGGCTTTCAAATCGACAAAGAAGTGGCGTGTATCGACCAAATTTTGCGTGTGGTTAAAATCTCGTCGGTTGTAGATTTTCGATGTCTAAAGACATACCGATAAAGTCCAATCAGATTGTTGACAGTGAACTTCAGTCTTTCAAACACTATGCTTGATAAGACCTTATATACCATACAAGATAAAGTAAAAGTAAACAGGCCTTTTTAAATCTTGCGCCCCCTGGTGGCGCCATCTAGTGAGAATTTCATGACATTTAAGAGATTGGAAGTGAAATTATTGTATTTTAAGTGTCAGTATTTTCGTGTTATCGGTGCGAAAATGAGCTTCGAACAAAGAGCCAACATTACATTTTGTTTTAAAATAAATAAAATTGGTAAAACTTTCATCGAAACATTTCAATGTGGTTTCAACGTTTTCAAAGTGGTCGTGAGGACATAAATTACGATCAACTTGTGGACCAATCAAAATCTGTGATCCCCCGAAATTCCTTCGAAACTGAGCGTGAATTCATCATAAATCAGCCGGAATCATCATTGAAATTCATGGAAATGGAATTGAACATCTCCAAATCAGCGACCAACGAGCTAAAACACTCGTTCGACATGCTTTTGGTCCGTGAGGAAAGCTGTATTGAAGCAGAATTAGACTGAATAAAATAAGTTGATTTTGAGTTTTTTAATAAAATAAGGTGAGTTTTTCGAAAAATCATTAGTTCCGTTTTTTTAAAGTTCTGTTTACTTTGAAACGCATCTTGTATTGAGCAGACTTACGGTAATTGGTACAGATTGTGGGGTTCCCCTTTTTGTGAACTGAATACACTTAAATTCCAATCATCGGAATGGTTTCATCCGACTATATTTTACAAAGAAGCTGGAAACAGAACGTCCGCTCTATCGTCTTTTGGGGATTCGGGTTCAGCATCTCCAGATTTTACACTTTCGCTGACGTTCAGGAGGCTGGAGAAGGGATTCCCCCATAACTTCAGTATGTTCTGAAGATCAGCCACTAGATCACCACTGATTGCGTCTTACGTGAGTGTGCTCCGGTCTTCCGTGAGTCACCGCATCTTTCCGCAGAATTTTCGAGCATTACCTCTATCAGCCATCTTCTCAAGCTCTTCATACCCACTAATTTCGGAAATTTTTTTTTTTGATACGTATATTACATTAAAAAACAAACGAAAAAACTACACAACTAATTGAATATATCTATCCTCGCCCAAAAAATTAAAAATATTTTGATCCAGAATGGAATTATAATAATAACACTAAAAATATATGCAATACTTGTGTTACTTACAGAGTTTTCACAAAAATGTTGCATTTATACTGCTCTGTGTACGGGCTGGGTGTTGTTGCAGTTGCAGTGCGAATTTTCATTAATAATTTGCAAAAGGTTTCAAAGTATTTTTTTTAAATTACAGTTTAAAAATGTTTTATATTATAGGTATTAATTATGAACAAAAAAATGCAACAGGTGATTTATCATAGGTGCCATTTTTTGTTGTTTTATAATTTAAGAAATTGAACATTTTGCATCATTTGCCATATAATAAGGCAACATTTTTGTCGCTAAAAGAAAGCGATATTATTTTAAGCCGATTCGTACTTTATTTCACTTCAGTAGACATACGGCATGGTTGCATTTCAATGTACAATTAAAATTTAATAAATACATTGTGTTGAATATTAATGTGCATTCATTCTTGAAGTTTAAAATAAAATTCAGGTTGTTGCGCGCTAACATATAACTTTATAAAACTAACCTATTAAAAAATAAAAGTAATACTGATACCAATAATACGAACTGCCATCGTACCTCGCCTTGCGCAGTTTACGGTGGTAACAGTAGCATTGAAGTAATTATAAATAAATATTTTTTTACAGGTTCAGGATGCATCATTAGCCGGCTCATCTGACGATGAAGATCTCTTGGGTGTATTACGAGGTCCTAGTACATTTGCCAATACTTTTCTTTATGTGGGTCTTGGGACAATAGCTTTGGGTTTGGTAATAGCATTTGTAGGTACAGGTGAAAAAGGATTTAAAACAGTAGAACTTAGACTCATTGGACCATCGTTAATTGGTAACTATACATTTTTACATTTAACGAATATATATAAATTTAGAATTTTTTGACCATAAAAAAACCATACAAAATACTTTAATGGCATCGTTCTTATTGAAATTGAAAGCATTTTTAATAAAATTAAACTCAAATTAATGTATACCAAATAAAAGTTTAAATAGAACTACTGAGAGTGTTTGAAATTGTTTTGTAAAGTGTGGTTCAAATGAACATGGTACCCGTAATACTTCTTGACCCTTTGTTCAATTGCTCATGACCAATAAAGAAACAAAAAATATTGTCGCTAAAATTGATAATTGTAGTAAAGAACAACTAACACTGAAGTTCAAAATTACTAAAAACCAATCTTTTGCAATGTAGTGAATTTTCTAGTATACTCAAAAGGAAATTAATATATTTCAGGACTAGGATTCGTTTGTTGTATGCTGCGAATACTATTTTGTATATGCCCTTCTCACTGCATTTCAACTAATAAAAAAACTTTTAAGAAAGATTGCAACAAAAATGATGCCGATTATACTACTTCACTACTCCGTGGAGAGGGCAAACGTGTTTCAATATCACGACGACCGACATTACAGGTAAGTTTATTAAAGCAATATTGTAAAGATTACAATACCCATGTTTTGTCGGCGCTGGCGAAACTTTTATAAAGTGATCTCACTGACTTTCGCAAAGATACAGAAAACAACAATACTTAGATCCACGTAAAGTCCTTTTAATAACCCTACGTAACTGTAAGCGTTAAATTTTATTCAGACACTTTTGTAGGCTTCTTTCATATCAACAGCCTACGMTATAGGAATAGAGAGCCTATTGTTTTCATTCCAAAGCGAAACCGGCAGTCGGAGATTTCAAGTGTATAATAAATGGAGTCCTTCTTTTCGATGTTTTTAGGATAATAGGTGACATCCGTTTTTTCTGCATTGTTCAGTTCTCCTTCATCATCATATATAAATCTTCTTCCCAATTTTCTTATTGGAAATGGGTCTGGTTACTAAAGGAAATTTTGGATATTCCAAAACTATCATTTTTTCCTTGAAAAACCAAACAGAAAGTAGCAGTCATTGAAATGGCTAGCTGAAGAGAACGTCAGCGGTGTTACTTATTGACACCCGAATCACAGTTATAAATGTGGAGTGCTTGTCGCTTGTGAGCAAAACACTCATGTTTTACAGTTATGATTTCGAGTGTCTTCAACTTTTATATGTGGAACACAATGTTCGCGACAGACTGCAGCAGCATGACAGCGAACTGAAAATGGCGTGAATCCTACTACATGAACGTTTGTGAGAAGGCAGCAACATAGCAATGGCCGGCATGTACAAGTTAACACAACATAAATTTGCTGACAGCAATGTCTACATAATTAGGAGTCAACTTACAATGTTAGCTTAATGGAATGCACTACACGCGTATCCGCTCTCCCAATTATTAGGTAGTTGAGCGAAACACGCGCAAACCTTATTTTGATGACTAGGCATTTATAAGGCTCGGGCATCAATCATTCATAACAACCAACAATAGAATTAAGTTTTCAGTTTTGTAATAAAGCTCAACATAAGCACATAGTGCTGCTAAGTAAAAAGTCATTGTTTTATTTTTATGTGGCGCCCGAGCAGGGACCGCGAAAGTTATTTTAAAAATCGCGAACGTAAACCAGTGAACAATTTTGAATTAACTAATAAATTCGCGTTTCTTATTAAAAACTTCTGGTAGTTGGCCCCTTAGTAATAACATAATGCTTATTTACGAAAAGGACGGTCCGTACAGACCCGCCAACCAGAATACTAACAGAATCAATAAGAATTAAATGGACATAAAAAGTTTAAAGTCGAAAATAACATGAAAAAATTTTAACATTCTACATCAAAATCGGAAAAAAAGTTTTTAGATAAATAAGAGCAACAAATAAAATTACAATGAAATCAGACCATAAAATAAAAATTAAAGAATAATAATAAAATATTTTTAATACTGCCAATGGCGGACTAACAATTTTAATAGATTACCAAATAGTGCTAAAGGAATCAACAAATATGTGCCCAGAGCAAATAAGGCAAATAAGTTCAAAAGAAAAAAAAATTATCAAATTATAAACAAAAACATCGTCAATCTATTTACTACTTATCAGCCCCAGCAGCGTGTTAACCACCAATCAACATTCATTGACCCAGTACTGACAACAAATTACTACTTAGCAGTCTCAACAGCATTGTTAACCAGCAATCAATTTTAGCAATTTAAGGACATAATGCAGCGGTTAGGATAAATGTAAGTCAGTGTTCAATAAAATAATTTTTTACTAAATAGATAAAATAAGGAAACTTATTAAAAACAAAATTTTCATATAATAAGTCTTATTTAAGTTCATAAACAAGTGATAAACGTTAGAAGAAATAATATTAATAAATTATAAAGGAAAGGTTCATATTTTTCATCTTTCAAGCGTAAAAAGAAAAGTAGTGAATCAAAAATGAGTCAGGAAGAACAAATAGCATCGACATTGTCGAGATTAAATCTGCACTCATCCAGCACTAACGTTTCYCCTCCTAACATCCCWTCCACTTTCACTCCTAATCAAAAAAGAGAACTCGTATCATTAATATCGGAAACAGTTTCGGCAATACTACTCCCACAAACCGAAAAAGAAATTGAACATCCTGTAGATTTTAGCGTTAACGTGGACGCATCCGAAAGAGTTCCGGATGTAGTAAAATTTTTAAGAAAATTTTCGGGTAAAAACGGAGAATTCAGTTCATGGCGGAAATCGGTAGATTTACTAATGTACGGGCAGAACAAGAACACCCCAAAATATTTTGCTATCCTGCATACAATAAGACACAAGATAGTTGGCGAAGCTGACAGAGCCCTTGAGTCTTACCGCACCCCATTAAAATTGGGTAAGATAAAAAAAATGTCTGATGCTACATTATTCAGATAAGAGAGATGTTAGCACGTTGGAATATCAAATGACATCACTTGCTCGTTGAAGAATTCTACCCACAAGTTTATCGATATCTCTCGCTTATCCTAGACAAAGTCGATTGCCTGGAGTTAATCAACATATAGAGAAAAAGCACTTGACACATTTATAAGAGGTCTGAATGGGGCCTTACCCAGTCTGTTAAGCGTAAAAGAACCAACCAGTTTACCACAGCTTCTCCACATGTGTCTCAAATTAGGCAACATTAATTACAGGACGAACCATGCAAATAGTATCAGTCGCTTGCCGACCAATACCAAACCTATTAACCACAATCAACCAAGGTCATACTTATTCAAACCCCAAGTAAGACCCTTTTAYCCAGAACTTACAAATGTTCACAATCAATCCCCTAGACCAAGTTCGCATCAACAGTATGGACAAAACCGACACTACGTCACAGTGCAATCAAACTTTAGACCACCTCTTCCTCCAAAACCTCCTACACCAATGGAAGTTGATCGCTCTCTTCAAACGAAGCAAATAAGTTATCAGAATAGGCTTCAGTATCAACAAAATCAAACATTTAATGGGCAGCAAACAACCAGTAACAAACCACAGGCATTTAGTAATGAACAAGCGCAGGCTAACAATAATCAAGCCAGCAAGAGACCACCATCACAGATAATACAGACTCCTAATAAAATGCAACGGATCTACAATACAGAAGTTACAGAAACTGGCCCAATAGAATATGATAACGAAATATTAGAATATCCTGAAGCGTACTACGAGTCCTCGCATGACTACCAACCCGAATATAACGAAGAACAAGAAGAGATCGAAGCAAACCTTAGTGACAATATCAATTTTTTAGACTAAACTCCTCATTGCCATACTATCGTTTCAAAACGAAAAATGGCAATGAACTAAAATTTTTATTAGAAACAGGATCGAACAAAAATTATATTAGGAACCCCATTCCGAATAAACCCTTCATTGCAAATTCTGTTGGTGGACCCGTCAAAATTACTCATCATGCTAATATCAGTGTTTTCGGTGATGAAGTAGGTAAATTAAAATTTCACATTTTGCCCAAGTTAAGAACCTTTGATGCCATAATAGGTAACGATACAATGAAAAGTTTAAGCGCAGTAATTTTTACTAAGGAGAACTATTTTATATTACTCAATAAATACGAATACCCCATCCACCAGTTAGCAATTAACTCTATTGCACACACTACATTAAGGCTAAATCATTTGAGTACCAAGTAGATAGGCCAATATATTAAAAAATTTACCCGTATCCAATGCCTTTAAAAAAAGAAATAGACAAACAAATTGAGGAATTACTTAAAGATGGCATTATTCGACCATCGAAATCTCCCTACAATTCTCCAGTATGGGTCGTACCGAAGAAAGAAGACACATCAGCATTGAAAAAATTCCATATGGTAATCGACTATCGTAAATTGAATGAGGATACCGTAGCAGATAAATATCTGGATATTACCACTATTACCTTAAGAGTGGATGACAGTAGAATGGAAGATAGAGAGATGAGGTAGAGTGGTGATGCCACTAATAAGTAAAATGTAAAATTATTCACAGCTCTAACAAACTTGATGTTATTTTATAGAAAAAAGCATAAAATAGCTCTGTTACATCATTTGTAATAACAATTGATAATTTAAAACAAATAAATTTACCTATTTTCTTATATTTTGCATAAAAAATTTCACTTTGAACAAAATATTAAAATTTCATTGAAGTGC